ATGTGGAGGGAGGAATCCCCATGAGGCCCTCCACTGTCTCTCGTGGTGTCTTCAATTGCTTCTAAAGTCAGAAAAAGCCCAGGTTCTTGGCAGCTTAGTATTAATTTGGGGGGTAAAGAGACTTTACTTGTGTAATTGAATGACAAAATATCCCCAGCTCCTAAACCAACTATAAATCTTTACATCATGAGAAAACATTACATGCCTCTTGGTATGATGCAGAGGATTCTTGCCAAGAATTTGGTTCTGATCATGCTTCCAGAGCTAACCACGGATTTACAGCAAACACAGGAGATGGGAACAAACTCAATAACACTTTAGGATGCAATCAGTAAAATCCAGCACTTGGGGAGGCCACAGGACAAAAAAAGAAAAAAAGGGATGGAAACTTGTTTTTTGTTTTTTAAAGTCTTTATGATTTGAAGTTACAAACTGCAGTGAACTGATCAATATTGAAGCTGAGAATTAAGAACTTGAGCATTTATGACTATTTATTCAATTTTGTATATGTTTAAGAACTCCCATAATAAAAAGCTTAAAACAAGTCCGTGGGCCTGTCCCCCACGACCTCCCAAGTCCCCACCCAGGTTCCATTTGAGACAGGAATGATCTTATAAGCGCCTAAAGTGTCTTAGATGACTGCTCACCTGTCGATGAACTGATCAATAATGACAATATCACCAGGCTGAATCTCTTCCCTTAAGGAACCACAAGCTGTGGTTACTATGACATGTGTACAGCCCTCCTCCTTCAGAGCCCAGATGTTCGCCTGATAGTTGACTTTTGAAGGCATGATGGTATGCTGCCTTCCATGCCTATGGGAAGAAGAATAAATACAGTAGAAGAGTGAGCAGTACATTTTAATGCTGTTAGAAAAGAAAATGAATTCACAGTGGTGCCTTCCAGCCCTTAACACCAAAGTGCTTTCACTGACAGAGGAAGAATGAGGAGAGGCTCGGCAATAACCAGCCAACTCTAAGTATAAACTATTTGATTTTGAAGTGCAGGGAAGCTTTACATTCTGTATATTTACTTTCCTGTCAAGAGTAGGTAGCAACTTACTTGGAATTCCCTCTACAGAAAGATGTAAATATCTACCTTGAGAGGGCACCAATACCCCAGAATCTGAGGCATCTGGTCTTACATGAGCCAAGACACGGAACACAAGGGGTGCCAATGAAGAAAGATGCAAAATAGAAATAAAAACTCAAGTTTACAGTTAATCTCTTCATTCCCTTCTACCTGATCACTCAAATAAGTTAACGACACCTCTAAAACGTTAGAGTTCTCAGTTGTTTATGATGACATTAGCAGGTTTCATCTAAGAACTGATCACCTCATGCATGATCATTGTTATTGGCTGAACTGTGTCCCCCCCAAAAATTCATAAATTGAATTTCTAACCCCTAGTATATCAGAATGTGGCCATGTTCGGAGATAGGGCCTTTAATGAGGTCATTAAAAGTTAAAATGAGGTCATTAGTGTGGGTCCCAACCCAACATGAATGGGATCCTTTTAAGAAGAGAAAATCTGGACAAAGACAAGGAGAAAGGGCAGGACATGTAATGATACAGGGAAAAGATGGCCATCTATAAGCCAAAGAGAGAGACCTGGAACAGATCCTTCCCACCTGGCCCACAGGAGAAACCAGTTCTGGTGATACCTTTCAGGGAGGTGGATCAGAGAGACCTGCTTCCAACTAAGAGGATAAGGCAAAGGTACAGGGACTCCCATGGTTAGGCAGGCACCAGAGAGACCCGCTGCTGGCCTGAAAGGAACACGCTGCTATCATGTGAACTATCCACGTGGTGGGAAGTGTGGACAGTTTCTAGGAGTTGAAGACCTCAGTTCTACAACTATGAGGAACTGAATTCTGCCAATAACCATGTGAGCCTGAACAAGGACCTGAAGCTCCAGATATAAACAAGTCCTTGAGTGTACTTTGTGTGACCCTGAAAAGAGGACCTAGCTAAGCTGTGCCCACATTGCTGATGCCTGGAAACTGTGACAATATGTGTGCTGGCTGCTAAATTTGTGGTCATTTGTTATGTAGCAATAAAAAACTAACACATGTAGTTTGACTAATTTCTAACCGTATGATACAGATGATTTGCTCCCTCTATAATAGGAACTGCACTAGCCCTGTCAAAGAAACAACAGTGTGGACACCATAGGGAACCCACTTCAGGGACCCAAAATCCACTCCCCACAAACCTAGAACTATAGTAGTATTCACAAGGGGTCATGAATGAAGCAGTGTTTCTTCATCTTGTTAATTAGAAGAGAAAACAAACAGAAGAGAACATTTCTTTTTGCAGCTAGAACAGAAACTAGAGCTTCAATTTTAGTCAAGCTCATTTTATCACTCATTAGACTAGTCTAACAACACTCTCCCAACCTAAGGAAGAAGAGAGTGAGATCTAAGTCAGTAAAACTTACCCAAAAACCGTAAGTGGTAAATAAAGGTGACTAAGATCTTAGTGCTGGCTCCACCAACACATAAAACTCATACTTGTGTCATTATTCTTTCCAGATATTAAGTCAAATTTAAATTCTCCTTTAGCAGTAACATTCAAAAGGCTTAAAATACCTTACCTTGCAAGAAGGACGCAATCAACATTCTTTATCTTCCCCAAAATTAAGGCATCGGAAGGCTGCACATAATGAATAATGGTCACAACTCAGTGATTTGAGAACATATAAACAATTAAAAAGCTGCCATTTCAATTGTTTGACCACAAAAGGATTCATGGAAACTTGGAGTTTGAAGATATACTTTAAAAAAGTAAGGGTCTAGATTTGTTTGGTAATCACTCAATGAATATTTAATGAGCCTTTTACAAGCACAGAGATTCACAAGACTGGGAGGTTGCCTCAGGTGTGTGCGTAGGTACCATTTAGTGAGATCTATTTGTAGCAAGCACCCCAGGGGACTCTGATGGTAGACTGATCAAACACAGCTGTACTGAGGTATCTGTCAGGTTCAAGCACCCGTGAGAGGGAAATGCAGAAAGGATAGTAGGCCACTGTCACGGGATTTAAGAAGTCGACACTGGAACTGTCTGCTGTCTTAACCAACTCTAAGATGGCCATGGATGACCTGAGGTGATGGAGGGGAAGGTTCCGAGAACCTTGGGCGTTAAGGGATTAAGAAAACATGAGGGTAAGAAGTGAGCCAAGCTTACAGCAAGACTTGGAGAAAAGGTCTCCAACTCCTGGGCTGCGGACTAGTACCGGTCCATAGCCTGCTAGGAACTGGGCTGCACAGCAGGTTGTAAGCAGCGGGCAAGCAGGCGAAGCTTCACCTGTTTTTGCAGCTGCTCCCCAGCGCTAGCATCACTGCCTCAGCTCCACCTCAGATCATCAGGAATTACATTCTCATAGGAGCACTGGTCCCTGGTGCCAAAGAGGTTGGGGACCGCTGACTTGGAGAACAAGAGGTCAGTCTAACCACTTGGCTGGAAAAAGAGGGTTTGGGTGAGACTGCCAGATGCAGGGATCTTCAAAGTAGGGTCAAAGGAACTGCCCTGTTTGGAAGTAGTCCTGTGGATTTAGAAGGTGGACACCCTCACTCTAGCTAGGTGACACAGGGCCTGGAACAATGAACAGCTTCCTTTTAATAGAAAAGGAGAAGTGTTTTATTTTCAGTTAAGTTATATAATCATGTTACGGATCCCCAAGAAATCTCTCTTTGGGACAGGGCTTACTTTGTATGATGTTTCCTCTTACAGTTTAGCGCCTAAATTGGGGTGGTATGACCTATCTGCCCCAAATTAGAAGCTGATTTAAATGTAGAACCTGAAGAGTACAGATTCGAAATGAGTATCTGGCTTCTAGGATTAGAAATTGAGAAGTAATTTGCACATGCCCCGAAATCATATTTTCAATACAATAAAGTCCAAGGCATCCTTAGGGACACTGTCTCAGCTGATAGAAACCAATGATAGGACTCCTGCTCTTTATCAGCCTGGGGCAGGCAGCCCTGGGCTGTCAAGACAAAAGCAATTAAAAAAAAAAAATTTTAACTTAAAAATCAAGCCAGCAAGGAGAAAAGTAAAGGCTATTGTGTCTCCATTAACTAGGCATTCACCTTGCCAAATGGAGTATCCACATATTTTTCGGTTCTTCCTTCTAAGATTTCTGGATCATCCAGGCCTGTTCCACCAATTATTCCAATCTAAGAGAGACAATAAAAAAACAAAAAAACCAAAAAAACAAAAAAAAAAATATTTGATCAGTTTTCATTAAAAATGAAGTCATTATTTTAAGCAAATTTGTTTACTCATATGCTCTTC